CGAGGCTCAGCACGCCAATCATCTGCGAGCACGTGCGAAGCTGGTGCGCTGCTGTTCTGCGGGAGCAACGCTGGCACGCCGTTGACCTGCAGCGTTGGCACGCCGTCGACTTTGCACTTCTGGAACGCGGTCGACCAAGTCGTACTGGAACGCGGTCGACCATGCTGCGCTGACAGCCGACTGACCTGAATGCTTGCTGTGATGTAGTCTTGTCTTGCCAACCTGATTGTACCATTGTTGTCACCTTTGTCTAGTGAAACTCTTGCCAAATTGCCCCATGAACTAGCAAGCAGTGTGAGTACTAGGAAAACAACTAAGGACCAACAAACGCAGAGATCACAAGAGCACCCGTGCCTAGTCCGTAGTCTAGCTCCCGTTGTAGTAGTTATCTCTGCAAGCACTGTGCACCTGCGTGAAGCCCTTCACGACCAAGCGTGCCTTCTCGCAGGCGACCGTGTCGTCGATGTGGTACTTCGTCGTCAGCACCCACCGGTTCTTCATGATGTTCAGACCACGCGGGCGTTCGACCAGCTCCCACGTGCCCATGCCGATGAGGCTGTGGATCTCCTTGTCCATGGCGGCCTTCACCGCCTTGCCCTTCGAGCTCATTAGTGCCTCCTTCACCGTCATTGTCGCGATATCCCAGCGGTGCTCTAGATCGGCGTGCACGTCGGCGTCGACATCTGCCTGCGCATCGTCGAGCAACGTGTTGTAGGAGGTCAACGGCAGGCAAGTATGGTACCTGAGCTTTTCGCAAGGCTTGCCAAAGTTGGTACAAGTGGAACGTCATTTTTGGAAGGCTTGTCGACTTGGACTTCCACCACATCGCTGTCAGTGGACTACTCCCCTGCAGAAAGCTCACCTTTATTGCCGTCGGGTTCATCAACGACCTCCACTATTTGCATCGCGACCCAACCTCACAGCTCGGTTGGTAAACCGAGATCTGGTCCTCCGCCTCGACAATTCCCAACCTCGGCGCCAGTCCCGTCGCGCAACCCACACCTCGCTCGTTACCGTTACCACGCTAGTTCGCTATATAGCATTCGCTCATTCCTTCGCTCAATGGACTGTTTTGCTTCGATAGTGCAATCTTCGTTCGCTCACTCAATCGCACTCAAAACACTCGCTTCCCACATTAACCCAAATTCTTGGGGGATAGACGTCCCTCAGCGACCAAGCACCGCTGCTCATCCACCAGCTACATAATCGACGCTTCAAATCGCGACATTAACGGCGGAACACGACTCCGCGCTTCAGCAATCATCTGCGAACGCACCAGCACCAGCAAATGCACCTTCACAGTCTAAGGAGCCAATCGTCACATCGTGGGACACCGCTCTGGCGCAATTAGTGATGGCGCCTCCCAATCCATGCTAGGCATGGAATGAGCCAGCGTGACGCCTGGCGCAAGCACACCACGCAAAGCCCGTCGTCACGTCATCATTGTGGCTCCTGTCAGTAGCAACAACATCGGTGAGCCAATGCCACTGCTGCAATGCCCGCCGTGTTTCGATCCCAGCCAGCGTGGGAATCTGACGGTTCAGTCGTGGATCTTCATGATGAACGTGTTTTTTTATGCAAACTACGTCACGTCAGATGCAGCAAAGATCCGGTACGCCGTTTCCTTGCTGCCCGGGCCTGCCATGGTATGGTGGCGAGTTATCGTAACATCGTCGAGCGCCTACAAGCCATTGTCGCAAGGGACGAGGCCCTCGGGGCCAGCCATAAAGTGGAGTGCATTCTGCGAATCGCCCAATACAGCATGTAGATAGCGTGGTGCGCAGGGCTTCGGGCGCGCTTCGATCCGATCGCGGCTTCGGTTTCGGCACGCCAGAAGATGCGTACTTGGCGACAGCTTGGGTTGGTTCAAGAATACACCAGAGGTTTCCTCGCGATGTGCGAACAAGTCGGCTACATGCACGAAGCGGAGCGAGTGGAATGCAACGTCGGCGGCTTGAAGCCGGATATTTTGTAGGAAATTCTACTCCGCGGAATTTCAAATTCCAACGAAATCCTGGCGCTTGCCGAGAGTATCGACATCCTACGCCGTCCGAGACCGGGGTCCTACCACTACGGACATCGTACTCGGGGAACAACGAAGCGCCGTTTAAGGGTCGTTGCTTCGTGTGCAACAGGCCGGGCTACCGTAAGAGTGAGTGTCCAGAGGAGCTAAGGCGCCATGGAGCAGAGCAGTGGAGGGAGTCTGGAAGGGAGGGAAACGCCAACATTCAGTAGAGACTGGGCCCACTACTGACGAGACTCACTGCTTGCCCGACCCCACTAAGCCTCACCGAGTGACGGTACCGATTCACGCAATTGATCGGGCTCGGCTGAATAAGGAGGGTAGAGCAACAGATTGCCCAGTACTGATTCACGGGAAAATACAAGGGACAACATTGAAGCTTTTTATTGACGGAGGGGCTAGCCACAGCTTAGTTAATACCGCGACTCCAAAGAAACTGAAACCGATACTTAGCCGCTGTATACCGGAGATCGTCGCACGCCTAGTAGACGGCACGCCGCTTGCTATACGGAAAAAGGTGGATGGTGAAGGTTTGTTGCAGGGGGAATTTCGGGTTTACACGAGATATGCTCGCAACAACACTGGATGGGACCGATGTTTTACTGGGACGTGATTGGTTGCGACGGTACAACCCGCGAATAGACTGGATGACGTGTAGCAGCACTGTGCGAAGCGGCGGTAACTGGGTCGCACTACCTCGCTAGGAGTCACCTGAGTCTTCAATGGTCCATGTCAATGCCATCACGATGAAACGGGTTGTCACTTCAGGGGGTGACGTTGTTAGAATGTGATATTTGTCTAGCCCGCAGTGGGGTACTCTATAGCCAGTATAGCCCAAATTAGGGTTTCCTATATGTACTCAACTGCCTGCTAATGCAAACCCTCTTTTCTGTTCTTAACTTCTGCTTGCTATTTTGACTAGCTATCAGAGCAGGTCGACCCTCGCGGGTCGATCCTATGGATGGGATCCACCCTGATCCACCTCCAGCTCCAGTACCTCCCGAGGGGCCCGCGCGTTGCCCCTCTCTTGTCGCCCGTCGCGGCGCCCCGGGGGCTCTCGCGCTGTCCCCTCCCGTCGCCCGTCGCGGCGTCCTTGGGGCCCGCGCTTCGCCCCATCCCGTCGCCCGTCGCGGCGCCCTGGAGGCCCGTGCGCCGCCCTGCCCATCGCCCGCCGCAACGCCCCAGGGACCCGCGCGCCGCCCAGCTTCTGCTCGCTCGGCGCCCCAGCTGCTGCCCGCGAATCTGCCCCGCGTCGCGCGCGCTGCGTGCGTTGGGGGTGTGGGGGTGGTGGGTATGGGGGTGGCGGGTGTGTGAGCCGTCCCCTGCTCCTCCTCCTCCTCCTTCGTCTCCCACTGCTGCACCGCGAGGGGGGTGGGTGTGTGGGAGCCGAGGGAGTGGTGCTATTTTGACAGACGTGTACGCGGTGGACATCACGGAAGTAAGGGAAGCCGAGAAGCCGAGTGATTTTTTGACATTGCTGGCAGCCGTACCGCCCGAACTACAGGAGTTGCTGAAACAGTACCGCGGGATATTTCCCGATGACCTACCAGAGGGATTGCCACCTTAGAGAGCACACATGACCTAGAACCGGGGGCGCAGCCAACCGTACAGCGATAGTTCCGATTGACACAGCGCGAGTTGGACCAACTTCGGAAGCAGTTAGTGTCAAATTATAATGTTGTCTAGGCTTTAGTGGGGTAGCCCATATGGGGTACACATTTCTAGGGTTGCATATTTGTATCACTTTCATTCCATAGTCATTCATTCTCGTTCTACTTTCCTCATGGTATCGAGCAGGTTCCCCCGTGGGAACTGTGCCTAGGGCCCACCACATCGATCTTTTTTTTCCTGCCCGAAGCGCGCTCAGCCCGAGTCGCGCTCCGGGCTCTCACCTCTTCGAGCCGCCCTACTCAGCGGCCCCGCCGCCCTTCTCAGCGGCCCCGCCGCCCTTCGCTGCGGCCCCGCCGCCCCACATTGCGGCCCCGCCGCCCTTCTTCGCGGCCCTGCCGCCCTTCGCTGCGGCCGCGCCGCCCCTCGCAGCGGCCCCGCCGCCCTTCTTCGCGGCCTCGCCGCCCTTCGCTGCGGCCCCGCCGCCTCACGTTGCGGCCCCGCCGCCCTTCGCTGCGGCCCTGCCGCCCGTCTCAGCGGCCCCGCCGCCCGTCTCAGCGGCCCCGCCGCCCGTCTCAGCGGCCCCGCCGCCCTTCACTGAGGCCCCGCCGCCTCTCTCGCTGCAGCCCCGCCGCCCTACTCAGCGGCCCCGCCGCCCTTCACTGCGGCCCCGCCGCCTCTCTCGCTGCGGCCCCGCCGCCCTACTCAGCGGCCCCGCCGCCCTACCCTGCGGCCCTGCCGCCTCGCCCGCTGCGGCCCCGCCGCCCTTCTCAACGGCCCCGCCGCCCTACTCAGCGGCCCCGCCGCCCTTCTATTGCGGCCCCGCCGCTCTTCTCAGCGGCCCCGCCGCCCTTCTCAGCAGCCCCGCCGCCCTTTACCAGCGGCCCTGCCGCCCCTTCACTTCGGCCCTGCCGCCCCTTTCACCAGCGGCCCTGCCGCCCTACACCGCCCGCGCCGCCCGAGCCGCCCGAACCGCCCGAGCCGCCCGAGCCGCCCGACCTGCTCGAGCCGCCCGAGCCGCCCGAGCCGACCGACTCTCCCGAGCCGCCCGAGCCGCCCGACCAGCCCGAGCCACCCGAGCCGCCCGAGCCGCCCGACCTGCCCAAGCCGCCCGAGCCGCCCGACTCTCCCGAGCCGCCCGACCAGCCCGAGCCGCCCGACCCGCCCGACCTGCCCGAGCCGCCCGAGCCGCCTGAGGAGCCGAGCCGCTGGTGCCGGGGAGCCGCAGTTGCTGCTGAGCCGTCTGAGCAGCCGTGTTGCCGTGTTGCTGTGCTACTGAGCTGCCCGAACTGCCCTGTCTGGTGAGAGCAGCGCTTCTGTCACTGCACTGCCCCTGTCCTACAGTTGGTACTACTAGTCTACTGTTATCATGGCTGCCCCTAGTGTCCTCGCGTTTGACGCTCAGGGTCGAGCCATTGACTTTGAGGTCTGGGTCGACGACCTGCAGTTGTTCTTACAGTGCGATAGGGCAGACGGTCTCTCTCTCTTTGACCTCACCTCTGGCGCCTCTCCTGCCCCTGCTGCTGATGCTGACCCCACTGTTCGCTCCCAGTGGGCCACGCGCGATGCTGCTGCACGTCTTGCTGTGCGTCGCCACCTGCCTACCACTGAGCGCGCACACTTTAGTCAGTACAAGAGTGCTCAGACCTTGTACGACGCTGTAGTTGCGCGCTACTCTTCCCCTGCCACTGCTGCACTGAGCCGCCTCATGCTACCGTACCTCTTCCCTGACCTTGCTGCCTTTCCCATAGTCGCTGACCTCATTACGCACCTCCGCACTAGTGACACTCGCTACCGTGCCACGCTTCCTGCTGAGTTTCTGCGCCAAGAAACCCCCCCACATGTACATCACTCTCTATTATATAGTCACCCGCCTCCCTGACTCCCTTCGTGTAGTCAGGGACCACTTCCTCTCAGTGTGTCCCACCACTCTCACTGTTGACCTCTTAGAGAAGGCCCTCCTAGCAGCGGAGAAGAGTATAGTCGCTTTAGGAGCCTCTCGTGGTGACCCTCGCACCCCCATCTCCTTCCCCCCTTTTGCCCTCTGTCGCCCCTGCCGCTGCGGCCGACCTCGTTGGTCTTGAGTCGGTCGGTGCAGCGTCTGCCCCTAGCGGGAGACGCCGCTCTGGCAAGGGCAAGGGGGGCAAGGGCGCGGGTGGAGCTAGCGGGGGCGGTGGAGGTGGCGGTGGAGGCGGCGGAGGGAGTGGGGGTGGCGGTGGGAGTGGTGGCGGGGGTGGAGGTGTCGGTGGCAGCAGTGGAGGCGGAGGCGGCGGAGGCGGCGGCGGTGCTAGCGAAGGCGGCGGTGGTGGCGGAGGTGGAGGAGGCGGTGGTGGAGGAGGTGTCGGTGGTCGGGGTGGCGCTTCGCAGCGGAGCAGCCCTGGTGGTGGTCAGCGCCAACAGCAGTTGCAACAGCAGCGTTCTCGGGACATTCCCCCCCCTCAGCAGCTCCATGAGTTGTACGCGCAGCGTCAGCGTGGTGGGGGTTTTGGTCCGTGCACCTACGTCCTTCGCTCCGGCGACCGCGCGGGTGAGCAGTGTGGGGGTGCCCACCCCACCCAGCGCTGCTTTGGCCGCCTGACGGACGCTTGGCGTCACCAGTTCCCGGAGGCCAGTGAGATCCCCCACTGGGGAGAGCTTTCTAGGGCAGGCGTAGCTATCTATGATCTTGACTTTGATGCTATCCTTGCTGCCATGTATGCTGTGACTATTAGTGATGAGGGTGACTGTTACCGGTGTTTCCCGCCCGACCCGGGCATTGGTACTGCTGCTCTAGGTGCCAGTGCGTCTGCGCCCTCAGGTGCTGGTGAGTCTGCGCTCTCAGGTACCACGTCGGCTTCGGCCTCCCTCACCTTCACACTTGACTCAGGGGCTTCTCGCTCCTTCTTTCGAGACCGCACCACACTCACGCCGCTTGGTCGGCCGGTTGCAGTCTCCCTGGCAGACCCATCTGGGGGTCCTGTCCTCTCTCTCTTCTCCACTGTCCTCCTGTGTCCGGCTGCCCCCTCTGGCACCTTGTCTGGTCTTTACCTCCCCTCGTTCTCTACGAACTTGGTGAGTGGTGCTTACCTGCAGGATACGGGGGTTCACCAATTTACTCCTGCGAGTCAGCGGGTGACCCACTGCTCGGACGCTCGCACAGGCCGGCACCTGGCCACGTTTACGCGTCGGCCGGGGTCGAGCCTCTACACCCTGACCACTGGGTCTCCTCCTGTCCCTACGTCTAGCCAGGTAGCTGCGTCGGGTCAGGTGTTTGCTGCAGCGTCCAGGTCTGGTCCTGAGTCTGCCCCCTGGTCGTGTCGCCTCCTGTCTCACGAGACTCTCCTGTGGCACCACCGTCTTGGTCACCCCTCCCTGCCTCGTCTCCGAGGCATGGCTTCCCGTGTCCTTGTCTCTGGTCTCCCCCGGTCCCTCCCTCCCCTTCCTCCAGGGCCTGGTCCTTCCTGTGTTCCCTGTGTCGAGGGGCGGCTCCGGGCTGCCCCTCACTCCTCTCAGTTTCCCCCGACAGAGGCCCCGCTGAAGACGCTCTACATGGACGTGTGGGGCCCAGCCCGCGTCCGTGGACAGGGTCACGAGCGCTACTTCCTGCTGGTGGTTGACGACTACTCGCGTTACACCTCAGTCTTCCCCTTGCGCAGCAAGGGTGATGTCACTGAGGTGTTGATCGACTGGATCCGCGCAGCTCGTCTCCAGCTCAGGAGGAGCTTTGGCTCGGACTTTCCTGTTCTGCGTCTGCACTCTGACCGAGGCGGAGAGTTCTCCTCTGGCCTTCTGCGAGCCTTCTGCCGTGCGCGAGGCATCCGCCAGACCTTTACGCTTCCGGACTCTCCACAGCAAAATGGGATTGCTGAGCGCCGCATTGGCATGGTCATGGACGTCGCTCGTACGTCCATGATACATGCGGCTGCCCCCCATTTTCTGTGGCCGTTTGCGGTCAGGTACGCGGCGCATCAGATCAACCTTCACCCCAGGGTCTCCATGCCGGAGACCTCCCCAGCTTTGCTTTGGACGGGGAAGGTAGGCGATGCGTCTGCGTTCCGTGTCTGGGGATCTCGGGCGTTTGTCCGCGACTTGTCTGCGGACAAACTGCCCCTCGTGCTGCTCCTTGTGTCTTCCTTGGCTTCCCCCCTGACGCACCAGGGTGGCAGTTCTACCACCCCTCCTCTCGTCGTGTTCTGTCTGTGAAAGTTGAGAGTGAAAAGTTGACTAAGGGAAAATGTCGAGGGTACAAAACCTAAGGAAACAAACCCTCTAAAGTGAACCCCACTACAGCCTAACAACAATACTAACATATATGAATATATGTCTGACACACCCCCATAGGCAAAGTGGGGAGAGCAAGGGGTCACAAGACCAGTCAACCAAAGCAAAGCAAGCTCAGGGTGGATCTCAATGTCACCACACATTCCGAGCAACAAGTTCAAGGCCACTGGGCCAGTTCACATGCAGGAGAGCATATATATGCAACAGTACAAGCAAGGTCAAGAGGTAAGCAAGTGAGGCCCAGTGGGCACAAGGCCTAGAAGAGTGCAAAAGCGCTGATGGTAACAAGGCGGAAGCGCCTTGATGAACACATCAGCAGTGTTGGCCTCAGTGGCCACGTAACGCAGACGAAGCTGACCACGCTGCTGCAGCTCTCGAGCAAGAAAGTAGCGCAGAGCAATGTGCTTCGTCCTGTGCTCCAGTCTGTGTTCCTCACACAAGGCAATGGTTGCCTTGTTGTCGACGTACAGCACTGGAGGAGAACGAGGCCGCTCTCCAAGGTCAGTCAGCAGGTACGTAAGCCAGCGAAGCTCCTGGGCAGCCATGGCCGTGGCGTAGATCTCAGCCTCGCAACTGGAGCTGAGAACAGAAGAAGAGCGAGTAGAACGCCAAGAGACAGAGCCAGAGCCAAGGCTGAAGGTGTAACCCTGAGACAACCACTGAGTAGCCTGGTCGTCTGCCCAAAAAGCGTCTGAGTGCCCAGTGAGAAAAGGCCTGTCTCGCCCTCCAAGCACTAGCCCCATGCCCGACGTAGTGCACAAGTAGCGCAACACCCTCTTAGCTGCATCCATGTGCTCCTTCCGGTGACGGCCGGGAGCGACATAGCGTGCTAAGATGCTGAGAGGGTATGCAAGGTCAGGTCGAGTGCAGGTCATCAGGTACATGAGGCAGCCCACAAGCTCTGGATACGGACCACTCGGCTCTACGGACTCATCCGAAGGCAGAGCTGAGAGCGAGTGTCCCGTAGGCAGAGGAGTGGACTGAGGCGAAGAGTACGTGAAGCCGAAGCGCTGAAGGACCTGCTGCACCATGTGTGACTGAGTCAGGGTAATGGTGCGGCGTGCTCTGTCCCGGCTGATCCGCAAGCCAAGATAGTTTGTCAGTTCACCCAGGTCTGTGCACGTGTGTCTCTTCTGCAGCTCGGACTTCACGTGGGCGAGTGCGGCAGTGTCCGCAGTGGCAAAGACCAAGTCGTCGACGTACACGAGGATGTAGAACGGCGGCAGCGAGGTGTCGGTGCGCAGAAACAGCGACAGGTCAGCAGTAGAGGGGGCGAACCCAAGTGGTGCAAGTGTAGTCCTCAGTGTGTCGTGCCACTCGCGCGGCGCCTGGCGGAGACCGTAGACTGGCCGCCGGAGGCTCCACTGGGTACCAGGAGGGAACGACCCAGTGAAGCCGGGAGGGCGGCGCAGCCAGATCTCCTCGTGCAGGCTGCCCTGCAAGAAAGCTGTGCTGAAGTCAAGAGAGTGGAGCTCGTAGTCACGCTGAGCGGCGACGTGCAGCAGCACCCGAAGAGTGGTCATCTTCGGGGTCGGGGAGAAGGTCTGGAAGAAGTCAACTCCCTGCCGCGGACTGAAGCCACGAGCCACGTACCGCGCCTTGAAGACAGGCGGAGAACCCGGCGGCCGCTTCACCCTGAAAATCCACATGCCACTGACGATGTTCGCCCCAGGTGGGGGAACCTCGTCGACGTAGGTGCCTGTGGACTTCCAGGAAGCCATCTCTGCGTCCATGGCTGTCTGCCACTGAGAGGAGTAAGGACCGGCCATCGCCTCTGCGTAAGAGCGTGGGGTCGGGATGTCTAGAGCATCCGGGTCTCCCTCAGGGGCAACAAGCATAGACACGAGATGGGGCAAAGCGGCGGCAAAGCACTGGAACTCCTCCTGCCTGTCCTCAAGGACGTCCGTGCAAAGAGCACACTCACCCTCGACGGACGGAGGACAGGCAGACGCAGACTCAGTAGACGCAGACTCAGCAGACTCCGACTCAGCAACAAGACTAGCGGCGTAGTCTAGACGACACGCGGCAGCAAAGTCAACGAGCTCAGCAATAAAGGCAGACGCAGCAGCTGACTCAAAGGAAGGGTCAGTGACAACAGTAGCAAGGAGACGCGTGACAGTAGGACTGGCAGCACGAAGAGAGTCCGACTCTGGGTCGGCAAGGGCAGGAAGGGAAGACGCAGGAGGAGAAGGCAAAGGGGCACGCAGAGGAGCAGTGGACGGACGCAGAGACATCCTATGCGTGCCAGGGACAGGAGGAGGACGCTGACGCGAACCGCGACCACTAGGGCGAGCAGCACGGACAGGTGACGCAGGCCGAGACGCAGGCTCACGACGCTCAGCAAGACCTCCAGTAGGACCAGTGTAGGAAGACGGAGCAGGCAGTGGGGAGCCGGGCTGCAGCTGTAGCTGTGACTGGACAGGCTGTGGACACGCTAGGGGAGGGGACGGACCAGAGGAAGACGGGAGACCAAGAACCTGCTGAAGGAGCGGAACGAAGTACGGCCGAGGCCGCGCAGCGACTCCAGACACAGCAGGGACAGCACCAGCACCTCCAGCGGCAGCACCACCACCAGTGGCAGCTCCAACGCCAGCTCCACCAGCAGCACCAGTAGTACCCTCAGCAGGACCGCCAGCAGTCGCCTCCGATACAGCACCAGTACCAGCAGGACCTCCAGCAGCGCCAGAAGGACCCTCAGCAGGACCGCCAGCAGTCGCCTCAGCTCCAGAGGCACCCCCAGGCCCGGCAGCTCCAGTACTCCCAGTACGAGCACCTCCGGGACCCGTGGCACCAGCTCCCTCAGTAGCAGCAGAACCTCCAGTACCCGCAGCACCCCCAGCACCAGCAGCTCGCCTCCAGCGTCGGGCAAACCACTCACGTAGCTCCAGTGGAGAGAGCTGCTCCCGTTGAGAAGAAAGACCCGGCGAACCGCCAGGAACAGCACCAGCAGGCTCAGCACCCCCAGGCTCAGCACCCTCAGGCCTAGCACCCCCAGGCTCAGCACCCCCAGACGAAGCACCCCCAGGCTCAGCACCCCCAGACACAGCACCCCCAGGCTCAGCACCCCCAGGCTCAGCACCCCCAGCAGCACCAGAGTCACCAGTGACCTCGACAGGCTCAACAGCGTCTACCTGGGACACACCTGACGGGGCAGGACCCTGGGGAGGGAGGGGGTCTACCTGGGGGGGACCTGGGACAAGGAAGAGCGGAGGTGGGGGGAGGGACGGAGTGCGGTAGGGGAAGAGCCGGTAGAAGGGGACCGACTCGTCGAACGTGACGTCCTGGGAGGATAGAACACGCCGAGAGGTGGGGTGGTAGAACTGCCACCCAGAGGCGTCAGGGGGGAAACCCAGGAAGATGCAGGGAGCAGCACGACGGGACAGCTTGTCCGCGGACAAGTCGCGAACAAACGCCCGAGATCCCCAGACACGGAACGCAGACGCATCGCCAACCTTCCCCGTCCACAGCAGAGCTGGGGAGGTCTCCGGCCTGGAGACCCTGGGCTGAAGGTTGATCTGATGAGCCGCGTACCGAACCGCAAACGGCCACAGAAAATGGGGGGCAGCCGCATGCACCATGGACGTACGGGCGACGTCCATGACCATGCCGATGCGGCGCTCAGCAATCCCATTCTGGTGTGGAGAGTCCGGAAGCGTGAAGGTCTGGCGGATGCCTCGTGCACGACAGTAGGCTCGCAGAAGGCCAGATGAGAATTCTCCGCCTCTGTCCGAGTGCAGACGCAAAACAGGAAAGTCCGAGCCGAAGCTCCGCCTGAGCTGGAGACGAGCTGCGCGGATCCAGTCGATCAACACCTCAGTGACCTCACCCTTGCTGCGCAAGGGGAAGACCGTGGTGTAACGCGAGTAGTCGTCAACCACCAGCAGGAAGTAGCGCTCGTGACCCTGCCCACGGACGCGGGCTGGGCCCCACACGTCCATGTGAAGCGTCTGCATCGGGGCCTCCGTCGGAGGAAACGGGGAGGAGTGAGGGGTAGCCCGCAGGCGACCCTCGACACAGGGGACACAGGGAGGGCCAGGCCCCGGAGGAAGGGGAGGGAGAGACCGGGGAAGACCGGAGACAAGGAGACGGGAGGCCATGCTTCGCAGACGAAGCAAGGAGGGGTGACCCATCCGGTGGTGCCACAGGAGGGTCTCGTGGGACAGGAGGCGACACGAGCAGGGGGCAGACTCAGGACCAGACCTGGACGCTGCAGCAAACACCTGACCCGACGCAGGAACCTGACCAGACGCAGGAGGAGGAAGAGACTCGACAGTGAGTGTGTACAGGCTCGACCCCGGCCGACGTGTAAACGTGGCCAAGTGTCGGCCCGTGTCCGCGTCCGTGCAGTGGGTCTCCCGTCGGCGCGCAGGGGTGAACTGGTCAACCCCCCCATCCTGTAGGTCAGCACCCGCCACCAAGTTCGTAGAGAACGAGGGGAGGTACAGACCAGACAGGGAGCCAGACGGGACCGCAGGGCACGGAAGGACAGTGGAGTAGTGAGCCAGAACAGGACCCCCAGAGGGGTCTGCCAGGGATACTGCCATCGGCCGACTAAGCGGCGTGAGTGTGGTGCGGTCTCGAAAGAAGGAGCGGGACGCCCCCGAGTCAAGTGTGAAGGTGAGGGAGGCCGGAGCCGACGCGGTACCTGAGAGAGCAGACTCATCAGTACCTGAGGAAGCAGACTCACTGGCACCTAGGGCAGCAGCGACGCAAGTACCAGGAGTGGTAGCCTCACCAGTACCTAGGGTAACAGACGCACTAGCACCTAGGGCGGCAGCCTCACTCACAGGACAGGGCAGCTGCACCTGTCCACGACCAGAAGTTCCCGACCGACCCACTCCAGAGCGACGACCACTACTGCCACCCCGACAGCCCCAACTGGCGTACCACGCTCGAAGCTCCTGGGACGTGAGGGACTCAGG